GGGTGAATGAGAAAGAATTAGAACTCATGATGGTGCCATGGTGAGGTCAATGGTCATGTATTAAGAAATCACACCAAATATGGAATGGGAGAATAAGATGAGGTCTATAGAAGATAAAAAGTATAGAGAGAAATTAAAAATGAGTATAGAAAAGGATTAACACGGAGAGAAATAACTGTATCGTGAACAGTGACTTGAACAAGACTCTGTACAGTGATATGAATAGTATCGTGTATAGTAACATGAACGGTAGGTTCCTTAATATGGAAGATATATGAGAGAGAGATAAGAGTTCAGGATAGAAGAATGAGAATGATTAAAGAGGGTAAATATTGAAGAAGAAATATTAGTGTTTAGAAGAGGAAGAGATTATGGATCTCCAAAAGAAGAAGAAGGAAACATGGGTTACGTTTATTAGATTTTTATCACACTGAGGTGCTATCTAAACCTACCCTAATACCATGTTGATTTTTTTTTATGCTTAGAGAAGACAAGAGGGAGGCATGCTAGACTTTTGGCATGAAATGAATTGGGCAATAGACACACGCCCAAGACAATGAATACTGATATTCAAATAAGCGGTGTTGCATTAAGGCAGCAACTTTGCTAAAATGCCCTTGTACAAATACCATATTATCAAATACAAATATAAATAAAACAAACCTTCCAATACTTATATAACATATTACATGTTCCAAGCTCGTGCAAGCATATAGGGGGTAAAAATTATATTTTGAACTCCTAGCGAATGATTAGTTGGGGCCTTAACAATAATAGTTACATATATGCTAAGTAAAGACAACGTACTACTGATCGCCCATCATATTTGTACTTCAAAACTATCCTAGTGTCGTGGGATGATTATAGGTTCCAAGCTCTATGCAGGCATATGGGGGGGGAGCGGATAACTATATTATGACAATTAGCATACTCTATATGATATATATGTTGTCGTCGACCTAATCAGGCCGGTCAAACCTTTAAGCCCCAAGCTGTACATGAAAACACAGGGGGTCAAGGCAAGGTCTACCTCCAGGACCTCCTATGATTAGCTAGGTATCAAAGGAGAGATTCTATAATCCATTGCATGAACCTTTGTTTTTTGTTTCCAAGGATAAACCTGAGCCTAGCTCTTCTTCCCCAATTAACATCAATCATCTATAAGATACCCTAGGATAACTACTCGTTGTCCGTGCTCTCCTCTCATCAAGGCTCGTGTTCTCAGTTCCTCAGAGATCGAGAACCAAATGAAGAAGGAGAGGAAGAAACGAGAACCGATGAAGAAGTCGTAGGTGTAGAGGAATCCCCCAAAGACAAATTGAAGAATTTCAGTAATGCTTAACTGAAAAAGGACACCAAACCCAGGTTTGAGTACCAAAAGCGATGCAAAAGTCGCCCACTCTCAGCCAAGGTAAACATGATTCCAGCCAGCTGCACCTTTGGGACACCGAGTCCGGTGATACTTATCATTCCGCATACCAACACTCATGTTTCTAGTTTGACTCCAATCGCACCACCTGCCCCTAGAATCCTATTGGAATCCTTACCAATCTTACATTGACGAGCTTTCATTCCCTCCAGTGTACCAACTCCCTACATTGGAAAAAATCAATGTATTTCTCACTTCAGAGATGATTGTACCTATACCACTTTAGATGGATGTTTGATTCTACGACAATTTGTTCGGTCATTAACCAGAGCTGTATACTCTCTATATTCTCAATTGCCTCCCAATTCGATAAATATGTGGGAGCAAATGGAGGAATTGTTCTATCAATGCTTTTATGGCACCTAAGAACTTATTATAGGACAACAAAGGGATGATGAATCCCCCACCGACTTCATAACCTGCTGGACATACCTATATATTAGCACGAGGTCACCAGTAAGCTGCCTGAGTAGGATGAACACAGATGGCCACCATTTTTCCAGGATGAAATGTTAAACCTATGTTATACCATAGGAAGCCAAAATCCTAATTTCTCTGCAAACTTTAGAAACCCTATAAGAGGATTGACCCTACTAGACAAAGCTAAAGCCCTAGATGTAAATTCCTAGGAAAAACTGCCTTGGACATTTAAGAAATCTCTAGATCAGTAAAACTCAAAGATCCAGATCGAAACTCACATATTGTGTTTGATATGGGACCCAATTCCAAAGTGTTTAGGCCTAAAAGATACATATTTTGACCATGTATACAAATATTTTAGTAGGGTTTTTGACATGTGGCTTTACTTCGTGACATAGAGCCTAAGTCTCATGCTGACCAAACTCGAACACTCCCAAACATCACAAGCCCACTAATTTATTGTAGATAGAAGAACAAATGCCTCACTTTGTAGGGTTCTCAGGAACCCCTAGCTTGCGGAATGGAGAATCCAACCCAAGATCGTGTACATCACAAAATGCATTCAAAGCTCGATCCTCTCGATGCTTGTCCGTCAAAACGGCCAAAGGTAATCCTTGATTCCCCGATTGTCGAAAATTCCTCTTACGCACCTCAACACACATAAGAAATAGGGATTGAAGACCTTTTTGCTGACCTAGGTTTGAAGGTATGCACAATCGGCTCTAACACAGCCAAGCGTGGTCATCCACTGATACAAACCCTGGAACATAGTTGGTCGATCATTCCTCTATGTCGATAATAGCTGGAAGCATACCAACGGCACCTTCAAGTCCCGGTGCCAAAAAAGGGATAGGCGCAGGGTGGCCATCTAACAACCCTGCGCGTCCAATCCCCAACATTTCTCTCGCGAGTCTCATAAGGGACACCTCTTGTGTTATTTCAAAAACTGTTGAAAATTCAAAACATGATAAAACTGATAATAATGAAAAAGATTTTTCAAAAGCGGCGAACACTCAAGGTAGCTCAATAACAGTGCATAATACCCAAGACGAAGAATTTGACGACCAAGATGAAGATCAAGAGAGCCAAGAGTCTTCCCCAGCAATGGATTCGATGTGGTAACATCGACCTTTGTAATGATCAAGGCTAGTAAGTCTATTGGTCCCACAGTTGTCCATGTACCAGCGGAAGATTCGGCAGCTACTGCAGCTCCTGCTGCTCTAGCTAATTGTCCGCCATTTCCAAGTGTTATTTCTATATTATGTATGGTCGTGCCTATGGGCATATCGGTTGAAGTAGATTCTTGAAGAAATCCCTCAACTTGAGGAACTCATTTCCCATGTTGAGCAATTCAAGAAGAGGTTCGATGGTGACCCAACGGCTATCATCAAAGAGACGATCGACGTAAACCTAAGAACTGAGAAGGACCCAAGGTTAACCAAGATTGGAACCTCCCTATCTCCTGAGGAGCGGGAACATATGATTCCTTTCTCAAGGAATATCGCGATGTCTTCGTTTGGTCATACAATGATATGCCAGCGTTATATCCCACATTGGTGCCACATCACCTAATATTCAACAAAGGGGCAAAGCCTGTAGCGCAGAAATTCCGACATCAAAAAATCCACCTTGAGCTCAAAATTAAAGAATAAATCGATATACTGCTCAAGACGAAATTCATTACCCCCATCGATTACTCAGAATGGTTGGCCAACATAATTGTCGTACCAAAAAAAGACGGGAAGATCCGAATGTGTGTCGACTACAGAGACCTCAATAAGGCATGTCCTAAAGACAATTTTCCATTACCAAACAAGATCTCTTCATTTACAATACGGTTGAGATTTGTATAAAGTGCCAATCTTATATTATTAAACTCTAAACCTTGCGAAAAAAAATGCAATCGTGGTGCTGAAAAGCCTTACTATAGCATGGAAAATTTATTGCAACCTCTAATTATGAAATACAAAATTACAAAAATCATGACGATCAAGCAAATCTGCTTGAAAATCTCGAATATAGGCTGTCCAGATAATGCTAGAAGACAAACCCACTTTTAGGACTTCAGGTCCTCTTTTAGGTACACGTTATTTCTACATTACATGGTTCATGACTTTTTCCTTCCGATACTACATGGTTCAAACCCTCTATAGACCTTTTCCTGCGTTAATTCTACATTACAAGGTTCAAACTTCAAACTTTGTATAGACTTTTTCCTTCTGATACATAAAACGCGGTATTATCAGATTCACATCGAAGCATAAATGAGGTGTTCTCAAATTCACATCAGTCATCAAAGACTCATTCGGTTGGCTGTAAAAATGAAATTATTTGGTGCTTCAACTGCTTTTGAAATTTTTTAAAAAAATTAATATAAATAGAATATATTTTTAAAAAATATATTTTTATATATAAAAATCTATTAAAATAAAAAAATAAAAACATTTTTTTAAAAAAGAAGACAATTGTGTGCTCCAATAAGAAAGGCCAAAGTTTTAGTCGAAGATGCAAAAGCAACCTGAAGCAAATAAATGCACTAGAGCTAGTAGCTTTGTTCCGCTTCGGTCCTGATTGAAAATCCAAAAATCTCGTTGTCTTAAAAAATGAGCCTAATAAAAAAAAAAAAACCCTTCCTCTTAAAAACGAATCTAATAGCATTTGATTCATTATTATAACTACCCCTAAAAAATATCAAATAGCATTGGTACAATGTGCATGTTTCCTCTGTTTAATGAAATAAACATAGGAACAGCAGTATGATCAAAAGTTAAAAACGGGGAAAGAAGGTCACATGGGAGTGGTTAGGTTTAGGACGTCATGGTCCCCACCGGGCAATCATGCTCCATAAAAAAAAGTTTGGCGCTGTGCTGGTTTCATTCGGTGGCCACAGGACCGGCGTTAAAAGAATTGTATAAAGGAGAAAAGAATAGTCGTATAAAGGTTAAAGAGGCGTCAAAAGAATTGTACAAAAAAAGGAAAAAAGAAAAGAATAAATTCTTATATATCGCCATTAAAAATCCAATAAAAACACACTTGTCTCCCTCTCCCTCTCCCTCTCCCTCTCCCTCTCCCCTCCTCTCTTAATTTTTTTGCAATGTTTTTTTATTCCCATGTCGACCTCCCCCAATTCGAACCATGATAAAGCAGATAATAAACAAATGGAGGAGGTTTAAGACAGCAGGGAGTGTCCCCACGCGTGTCGGATGTCCCCATCTGGTGGCCCCACGACCGACGCACCTCTATTCCGACCGACACAGCCCCTTTGTGTACAGGGTCAAAAAAAATGATTAATCGACACAAGAATAAACTGCACCGTGATTAAAATACATGACAAGGAGGGAGACGACTCATTGACGCGTGGACCGCAGGCGCTCACCGATTGTCTTGAGCTCGAATTTCTTGATGGAGGGGGCGAGGGCCCGCATGGTGGTGTCCAGGACGAAGGGGGAGCTCTCGAAGATGAGCTCCGACGCGTTCACGAATTTCCGGCAGGGCTCCCGGCGCGTCGAGATCGTCCCGTGGTAGTGGAAGTACTTGATCCTCCCCTCTGTTTTGTGCTGTGCCTTCCCCACCACATTTTCCGACATGTGAACCCCTGTCGCGAAGGCGTTGCGGGCCTGAATCGCATATTTCCGATCTCTTCTAATCCCCCGCTTCACATTCCTGAACACCAGTTTCTCGATGCCCCATTCCCTAACCACACCCACACAACAATCAACCATCATCACATCACGATTCATGAAAAGTTTTGGTAAAATTTCAAATCAACTACAGGAACACGACGCAACCGTCGTCCACGATTCATAAAAAGTTTTGGAAAAGTCCTAAATTAGCTACCGGCCAACACTGCCTAAAGAACCGAAGGAGCTAAAGATCCCTCGCAGCAAGAGAAGAGAATGTAGACCGGAGAGAGCACCACAAGAACAACAGAAACTAAAATCACTGAACGCAGGTGACTGTAGACACGAGAGTAAAGAGAATAATGCGTAAAAACAATAGCAGATAGATGGACCATATTACCTATCTACAAGTTCTGACTTTCCCAATATTTATGAGGCTATCTATAGTCATGAAAGTACAGAGAATACTGTAGGCAAGAGAGTAAAGAGAACGGCAGATAGATAACCCACATTGTCTCTACCAGTTCAGACTCTGTCAATATTTATGAGTACAATACATTTTTTTTGCTCAAAAAAAGAAAAATTGTGAGTACAAGAATCTTAGATTAGTGTAACAAGCATTCTAATGGTTAGATTTCTTTAGCAAGGTCCTCATACTCCCTGCTTGTCACCAATATGGAAATCAGAGAGGAATTAATCCATCTTACAGAGCTATTTTTTAAGAAAGAAAAATCTAAATAAGAAAATACCATCACAGGATCTGGGAAAGAATTAATCCATCCAATAATCCCATTTAAGGAGTAGAAAAAATGAAAATAAAATCTCAAGAGAAAATGGTCCAAATGAATTGCAGAAACCATGATCATGACCTAATTTTAATCTTATAATGCAAAATGAGGAACCTGAAATGGATTTGAGGAGGAGGCCAAAGGAAAGGGAAACAAACTGTAGAGCAAAGAGCAGTACCTTGGAGCACGGCGATAGTCCTGAAGGAGGCAGAGCTTATTGGACATGGGCATCTGCTCAATGGTGAACTGTGTGTAATTAGAGAGGGAGCTGAGAAGAGAGGGGAGTGTGTTCCCCGGGGGAACATAGATATACTCGTCAACATCGAAGAAGAAGATCCATCGCGACATAAACCTATACCTATGCAGGCAATCGTTCACCACCAGGAACTGGTTATGGTAGTACCCATCGAACTTCTCCTGCTCTGTAATATCATGCACCGTCACATATCCGGCCTCAATCCATGGCTCCAAAACCCGAAACACATCAGGGTGAACCCCACCCGCATTGTATATGATGATCCGAGACCTTGGACCAAAGAGCTTCACATGATACGCCAACCATTCCCTAACCCTCTGGGGGCTTAGGTCGCCATACAGGGGAGACCCACAGTAGACATAATCAAGAGATGGGGGAGAGGTGAACACCGAGGCATTGAGGGATCCAGGGCGCTCCGTCAGGGCCACAAATTCTTCGGGCTGCCTGTCCTCGTGGCTGCCGTGGAAGGCCCGTAGGAGGAGACGGCCGCCGGATCGGTCATCACCAACATTGGTTGGGAAGGTGCAGTTGAGGACGACCACCGTGTAGACGCGGCCATAGCCCCAATCGGGGAGGAACTTTGTGGCATTGACAGTGATAGAAGAAGAAGATGCGTTCAGGGTTTTGTTGCCTGAGGCCGAGGGAATCCAAATGCATTGGAAGGTAGGCTTGCCGAAGACATGGAGGGGCTTAGAGGCAAGGCCCGTGACCGCAAAAGTGTTGAGGCCGCCTCTGTAAGAGCTCATCTGGATGAAGAGGTACGCGGCAGCACCGTATGGACGGAATATCTGTTTCAGCACAGGCCCTGCTGTGCTTGCTTCCTCCAGCTCCAAAGGAGGAGGCGGAGGCGGAGGTGGAGGCGGAGCTGGTAATGACAATTTTTGGGTGGCCAAGGAGGGGGAGGAGGAGGACAATTTTTGGGTGGCCAAGGAGGGGGAGGGGGAGGAGGAGGATTGGTTTTGGAAGATCCTCGACAAGCAGGAGCGGAACTCGGTTGGGGAGATGGTGGTGGCGCGAGGGGGAAGGAACTGGAGGAGGGTGAAGAAGGAACCCAAGAGGAGGAGACCCGTTAGCACAAACTTCAGCTCTGCGCAGTTCCACACCACCCCCACCACCATGCTTCTCTCTTTCCCCATTCTCTCTCTCTTTCCTCTATTCAAAATTCCTCCAAAGTCGAAAGCCTCTGTTTACTGAGTAAGCACAGGTGTCTTCTCTAGAGGAGGATGTGTCATGGGGCACGGCAGCTGCTGCGGTGGGCACGTGTAGAAGACCACTCGAAGTTTCCTTCTGCCTCGGCCTCCTCCTCCTCCTCCTCCTCCTCCTCCTCCTCTTATGAAAAATAGGCTCCTCTGGTGGTCCTCTTTTGAATGGACCATCTCTTGTGGACTCCTTGACATTGCATCTTTTAGGCTGTGGATTCATGCATCTCCAATTCATCATTTTTGTTTATTGAAACTGTGGAATGGTTTCCACCTTAAACGCACTTCCAAATTTTATTATAACATGTAATTTTGTCTAAATTTTTTTTATAATTATCTTAAAATCTATTTTCATATCTAATTAAAAAAGTTTCAATTTAAAAAATAGTTAAAATCAAGTCGATCTATAAACATATAAAATTTTGAAAAATAGACGGTCTGGATAATATGTTACAAGATACACTATTTTAATAAACTCAAAACTTTTTGTTTTCGTATTCATACATCTCGATGTTAAGATGATCAATTAGAGGGTTTTTCAATATTAAAACAACTTTTTCGATAGATTTTTTAGGTGTATCTATAATTCTACATTTTAAATATGCAACCTTATACAAACTTTTTTTTTTTTCAATTATAGGTTTAGTTTATATAAGGCGTAGGTTTTATGCAAGGTAAATCTCATTCGAATCCTTGTCTAGAATGGATTTTGAGCAGTGATTTGAAAAAAGGGATAAGTGACAAGGATCGTGCATCACAAAAATCGACCTAGATCGGTGGGTCCGAATCACCATTTTATTATGCAGAAAAAATAGTGAACCGGTAAAAAAAATATGTGCTAAAACAGCGAACCGACCAAAAACAAGTCAAGATTGGTGAATCAGTATTTTTTACTGTAGCAAAACGATGTTTTTTACTATAGCAAAACGATGTTTTTTACTATAGCAAAACACCGTTTTACTATAGCAAATTGCCAGTTCTCTTCCAGACTCGGACGATTTCCTATATATTGAAAGATTCGACATGGGAGACCGATTCCTGGGTACAGGATGATTTTGAGCCGACCCGATGTTTTTTAAATCAATGATTTTGAGTATCCAAATTTTTTAATGATAAAATCACTATTTTCGATTTTCAAGACCAACTTGGAAGCTCAAAAAATACGAGAGATCTTAGACATTTAAGATGAAATCACTATTTTTACTTTTTTTTTTTAGAATTCAAACATCCTAATATTTTTCTACGGCAATAACAGTGAAGGCCGAGAAATTTTGAGTGAGTTTTGATGTAACGATTCTATTTTATTTTTATAGGTGCAACTCTATCAAAACAGTTTCCTTTAATTATTGGTTCTCTCTTTCTCCTCTTTGTCACGAAGCAAAGCAGGAGTTTCTCACTTTAATGTGTCCCGATAAAGAGGATCTCTCTCTTGCGTACACAGGAACAAGCGTATTTTATATTTGTATTACATCCGGGATGCTTTCCTATCGAGTTTAGGATATGTGTGTCACCGTCAGACAATAAAGGCACCTAATTTTTATTGATTTAAATGTATGCTCTACATTCATCTCTCCATTCTCCTTATATAGGAATGGCAAAAAGTCTCTTTGATACAATAAATAACGGAAAAAGTTTGTAGAAGGATGCTACCTTATAACGTAGAACTACGGATGCCCCTCAAAAATCCATCGAAAAATGTAGTTTTAATGTTGGAAAACCTTTTGATTGATCATCTCGACATCGAGATGTAGGACTATGAAATATAAAAAGATTTTAAGTCTCATAAATAGTGCATTTTACAACATATTATCTACACCGTCAATTTTCAAGATTTTTATATGTTTATAGATCTACTTGATTTTAACCATTTTTTAAATTTAAAATTTTATACTTAGATATAAAATAGA